CGTCAACCGTTGAACTTCCTTCACATTGCGTGGGGGCTCCATGTTGATGATGGCCTGGATTTTCTCGGGATTGGCCTCAATACCCCTTCGGCTCACCATGTAACCCAAGAACTTGCCCCCTTGGACGCCGAAGGTGCACTTCTTCGGGTTTAGCCGAAGGTTGAATTTTTGCATGATGGCGAAGATTTCCCGGAGGTCGTCAGCATGGCTGGAAGATTGCTTGCTCTTGACGATCATGTCGTCGACATAGGCCTCCATGGTGCGCCCTAGGACGGCTTGAAAGACCCGGGCCACCATCCGGGTGTAAGTGGCCCCCGAGTTCTTTAGGCCGAAGACCATTACTAGGTAGCAGAAGATGCCCTCGGGAGTCATGAAGGCAGTTTTTTCGGCGTCTTCCTCGTGCATAAAAATTTGGTGATACCCTCGGAAGGCATCGAGGAAGGACATGATCTCACACCCTGCGGTCTCATCCACCAATTGATCAATGTTTGGTAGAGGGAATGGATCCATAGGGCATGCTTTGTTGAGATCAGTGTAGTCCACGCACATGCGGAAGGTAGGGGGCTTCTGTGCGAGGACTACATTCGCCAGCCATGAGGGATATTTCACCTCCTTGATGTGCTTAATGGAGAGGAGCATGGCGACCTCCTTCTTCACAAATTCCCTCCTCTCGGCGGAGAGGGGTCTTCTTCGTTGTTGCACCGCTTTTGCCGAGGGGTCCACCGAGAGGCGGTGGGTGATGACCCTTCGGCTAATTCCCGGCATGTCCTCCGCCCCCCATGCAAAGACAGTGGAGTAGGCGCGGAGGGCGTCGGTGATACCGGTCTTCAAATCTTCAGGGAGCTGGGCTCCAATCTTCACGACTCTCTCCGGCTGGGCCGGATCGAGCGCAAAGTCTTCTACGTCCTCGGCCGGTTCAGCCCTCGGCCTTCTTTCCTCTTGGTCGACGGCTCCGGTGATGGTGTCAACACGGAATTCCGTCTTGCTTACCTTCTTAGTGACCTGAAGATAGCAGGCGCGGGCAATTTTTTGGTTCCCCCGGGAGTAGCCAATGCCTCCCTCGGTGGGAAACTTGAGGCAGAGGTGCCTCATGGAGATGATGGCTTCGAGGTCCTCGAGGGCTGGCCGGCCGAGGATGATGTTGTGGGCGCAGTCAATGTTGACGACGACGAACTCCACCTCGAGCTGGGCTCTATGGGGCCCGTCGCCGAAGATCACCGGGAGGGTTATTACCCCCTCGGAATCAATAGTGTCGCCGGTGAAGCCGGCAAGAGGGGTCTTAATGGGCCGAAGGGACCCCCTCTCCAGATGCAGCTGTCTGAAGGTGCTGAGGTACATTACATTGACGGAGCTGCCCGTGTCAATGTAAGTGCGGTGAATAATGGTGTCGTTTATCTCCGTCCGAATCACCAAGGCATCCTTGTGAGGAGAAGAAGTAGGAGGGAGATATGCGTTGGTGAAGGTGATGGGTTCCTCCCTCAATCGCTTTACCGGGGGCATATGAGTGACTTCCCCTACGTAAAGCGATTGAGCCCACTTCTTTCGCTGGCTGGTGGAATCGCCCCCCGTGTTGCCACCGGTGATCATGAGGATGTGGCGTTTTTTCTCCTGGTAGTGGGGGTATTCCTCCTCCTCTTCTTCCAAGTTTCCAATCTCCCTTTTCTTGTCGAGGGGGATGGTGTTCGGATTCACCCAGGCATTTACTTTTGTATGGTGCCCTCGGGGAGGCCCCTGATGAGAAGGTCCCTCCTGCCGAGGGCTCCGGACAAACTGGGACAGGTGCCCTGCCTGTATTAATCTCTCGATGGCCGTCTTCAGCTGATGGCAGTCATCGGTCCTGTGCCCCTGGTGCCGATGGAAGCGACAGTAGGGGAACTGAGGGTTGATAGCGTGTACCTCCGGGGGTGCGCGAGAGTCGCGCTCAACGAGGCCCCTCTCCTCGGCAAAATCGAGGATGATGCTGACGGGGTGCGTCAATGGTGTCCGAGGGCGGTCCAGGAGAATGGGCTGGGCCCAAGTCTTAGGGTTGCTCTTATAACCTCCCCCGGGCTTGGCTTGGCCTTGCCGAGGGCGGTCATCGGAGGGTCCCGAAGTCTTGGGGCGATTTGGAGGAGCCCCCGGCCCTCGGTTATGTTTGTTGTCAGCCCTCGGGGGCTGCTGGTCCGGATGCTGGTGATACTTCTCCACCTCCTCGGCCTCAGCATACCGGTCCCCCCGCTGCAAGGCCCTTATGTAGTCGCGGGGGGGTTCAATGATGAGGCTCCTTGAAAAGTTGCCGGTGCGGAGGACGGTTTGTAGGAGGGCCAGGAGGGTCCCGTCATCAGCACCGTCGACCTTGTCGGCTTCCGTCCTCCAGCGCTCCAGGAAATCCCGAAGGGTCTCATCCTTCTTCTGGCGTATTGTTAGGAGGTGGGAGAAGTGCTTCCTTGTGCGACGCCTCCCGGCAAATTGTGTCAAGAACCGCTGGGCGAGTTCTTGCCATGAATCAATACAGCCCTCGGGCAGCCTGTTGAACCATTCGTATGCCGGCCCCTCTAAGGTGGAGAGGAACCAACGACACAAATATTCGTCTGACGCCCCCACCATCATCATGCTGTTCTGGTACTTACTGTAGTGTTCCTGGGGGTCTGTTTTCCCGCTGTAGGGCTGTATGTGTTGCCCTCGGTATTTCTCCGGGATCCGGGCCGCCAATACCCTTGGGGTAAATGGCGTCCGAGTCCGGAGCTGGATGACGGGTTCCCCGGAGCCCTCGGCCACCTTCTTCTGTAATTCCTCCATTTTGGCCATCATGGCCTCGTATTTGAGGTCTGAGTGAGGGGTGGAGGTGGTGGCGTGAGCTTTGTTGGACTCCATCTCGTCAAGTCGGCGTTGGAGGGCCGCAATAATCTCGTCCCGGGGGTCCCTCGGGAGGGTCTCCGCCCCCTGCGAACGAACCCGGGCCGAGTGGGCCTGGTTGATTTGGTGCCGAGCATCATCGGCATGAAGGGGTGCCTTGCCTTTGTCCCGAGGGGGACGCTCCTCGTCTGCCCTCGAAACAGATCCCCCGCTTTCCTGGGGCCTTTGGAGTGCTTTCCCCCCGAGGCGGTCTTGGACCCCTCGGCGGTCTGGCCCTCCTCCGATCCGGTTGAGGGCGGAAGTACGGGGCCTCTCCCTGTTGTCATTATGGCGGTCCCGGGACTGAACTTCCTGGAAGGACGTATCTTGGGCCACCACCCCTTCGTCGTTTCTCACCCGAGGGGTGGGATTTCCGAAGGGGTGTGGCAGAGGGGGGAGTATGATATTTTCCCCGATCTGAGGGTGAGCTGGAGCCAGGGTGCCGAAGGCACCCGGGTTCTGGGTGAGCGTCTGGATGAAGGCGGAGAGCGCCGATTGTACGTCGATGGTGAGAACCGGAGGGCTGACTTGGTCATCGCTCCGGTTTTTCTTCTTGGCCTCGATGCCGAGGCGGGCATCGGGGGCATTTTGTTGGATCTGAAGGCGTAGGTCGACAGCCGCCTGTTCCAGCCCAGCGATGACACCGCCCTCGGGAGCCCTGTGAGAGGCTTCGGGGGCGTTGACGTCGCCGAGGGCCAGGTTCTTGTCTTCTACGTTCTTTGAGTTGGCACGTGTTGTCCTCACCATTTTGATAGAGGGCTAGTGTTTTGTGTTTGGTCGAGGGGGAGGGTTTCTTACTCGATTGTTCAACCTCTCAACTAGAGCACCAAATGATGGATAGTCTACCCGGGGGTATATATCCGAAGGGTTATTGCGGGAAGTAATCTAGAGAGAAGTCAGAGCAAGTAAATGAAAGTAGAGAGAGAGAATGTATTATAAATGCGGAGTGTTTTCAGCGTGTTCTGTCTTGGTTACAAATGGGGAAAAGGGGTGCTATTTATAGTAGCAATAAATGCCGGGCAGGGACACGTGTCAAGCGCTCATTGGCCGAGGGGTCACCTCAACTGGTTGGCGCTGGCAGCCGCATGTGGCCGCATTTAATGCGGCTGTTGGATGGGACGTCTGTGCGGGGTACGGTGATCTGTACGCATGTGAGGCGGATATCTTGTCGAGTGAGATGCCTTCGGCTATAGAGCAGTAGCCGAGGGCTCTTCCACCCGATGGCACCCTGGTGCCGAGGGCTCACAGTGCCGAGGGCTACTGTTTTCGCCGTTTTCTCCCAGTTTCTTAGTTTGCTTGAGAAACCCGCTCTGTGAGAATTTAGAGCCTTCGGCCAGGGGGCCGAAGGCACCCCTGGCGCGTAGTGCGGGCTACTTGGTACTCTGGGCGCTGTGATTTGGGCCTGTTGGGCCTGCTGGGCCTTCGCTGGAGTAGTAGGAGTCTGTGGGCCGGGGGTTCCCGGGCCATATACTCCATCACAGGCTATAATACAATGCCCATATAACTGTTCTCAGTAAACGGTTTTTTGGTTTGAATACCGGGTTCAAAAATACAATGCCCATAGAAACCAAACAATTACTCTTATGAGTGTGAACTAACTATTATTAAAAGGATTATTAGAAGGATTCCATATCAACTGATCTCCCTCCAAATGAGTAAGCTCCATCCTAGTCAAGTTTGTGTATATGGCAGATTCTCTTCCAGAGATGAGATTTAGAATCTGTTCTCTTCACATGATTTGAATGTTTCTAATCTGAATTTTTTAAGTTTTAATCTGATCTGATTTGAAGTTTTCTGATCTGATCTGATCTGAATCTTTCTGATCTGATCTGATATGAATCTTTCTGATCCAATCTGAATCATTCTGATCTGGTCTAATCTGATCTGAATCTTTCTGATCTGAATCTTTCTGATCTGATCTGAATCCTTCTGATCTGATTTGAATATTTCTAAAATTAAATATATAATCATTGTTATTATAATTATAATTTTAATTAGAAATATAATTTAAATATAATTATAATTCTAAAAAATTATAATTATAATTAAAATTGACATTTTATAATAGGTACAATTATTATTATAACTATTACTATGGATGGGATCTAGAATTGTAGTATTTAGATCGGGTCTTGAATCATAAACAAGTTAACGGGTTCGGATTTGCAACTTCCAATTCAAACCGGATCCGTTGGCGAGCGTAGCCTCGTAGGCACAGTCACATCCCTTGGAAATTATTTGGTCAAATTCATGGTTTATCACTTGTAGCATACCAGTACACTGAGTGAGCGGAAATGAGGAAGCTGAGATGGGCCATGGATGCTGGAGGGTTTTGGGACTTGGATTTATCGACGCCGGTGACTCTCGACGGTCAGGCACGTCCGGTTCCTGGAGACCCGCTTCCTTTGGGGCTTTCTCGTGGGCATAGGCTTTCCAGGACTAGACAAGTCGATTTCTTTCAGCGTTTCATGCTCTTGCCCTTTGTCCCTTCAGTAGCCGCTTGCAGCGGATTTTTAGTTCAACGGGCAATTTCTCTTAACATTTGTGAAAATTGGTGTGTACTTCTGCTTTGCATGAACATTTTTATCCACAACTGTCATACATTTTGTAGTGTGAATCCCTTTTTATCTAGGTATAAGTTTAAAGACTATTTCGAACTAAGACTCTGTGCTGAATGCAATAACTCTTGAATTGACATTTCTTGTGCACAGAAGAAAGCTTGATGTCGTTCTAAAATTAACATATCTTTTAGCAGTTTGATTGGGCATTATCGCATTAGTCCTTTTATCAATTGACTCTTGCAATTAACTGTTGTTGGTTCCATGAATTTCTTGTGTGTGCCAGTATAAAGAGCCTGATTGGTATGGGAAATAGGAAATTAGAACACTTCATCAAGACTAAAGCATTGTGTTGATGCTTTCATTGAAATGAAAACGTTTTACTGAATTGGAAAAAAATAGTAAATGACCGAAGGGCTGTGCTGTTTCCCTTCCCCAAACTGTTAAAAAAAGTCATCAAGATGGAGGTCCCATTCCTTTTCTAAAAAAGATATGAGCAACTGTTCGTCTTATTCTATATCTTCTTTATGTTAATATGAGTCGTTTTTTCCTTTCTCCGAGACTAGTCTCTACATTTAAAAGCAATCAGCTTCAGAACCCATTTTAAAGGGTTAAAAGAACTTTGATCAACAGTAAAGCATCGAATGGGCACTATTCTTGTGAAAAGTCCTTTTATGGAGAAGTAATCGTTATAATCCATCCCAAACGGGCACTATACTTATGAAAAAGTACTTTTTTGGCAAGTTTTGTGCCTGTGATTCATTTGCATCTGTGCAATGTGAGTATCGGCTAATCTTTGAAACCATCAATGTGCTTGCAGGATTACAACATTGCTTGGTCAGCTAAATGTGCAGAAACTTATCTCTGCTATCAGGAACAAAGGACCTGAGTTCCCATTGGAATCCTCGTGGCTGCAAACTGTTAGGAAACAGCTTAATGATAAATCTCTTTATGCCCTTAATATTTGTTCGGAGATTTTGCTAACACCAGAGGATATGTTACTCGTTAGCTATACACATGGTGATGATAGGACCCATAGGAGAAAAGCAGTTATTCACCACAAGGCAAGATTGTATGCTCTTCATAATTATCATGATTGGTTAGAGACCATTCGGTAAGTTAATTTGGATGAAGTGGCTGGATCTGCTAAATTTCTAAAAGGAAAACAAATTTGATAACATCCATTTCAGCCAAATAAGTCAAAAACCACTTTTTCTTATTACTGTGCTTATACTGCCAATGAGCAGGATAATCCACATTTGGCTACCCAATGGGACCTTTATTTAGATAGTTCCCTTATTTCTGCTTCATATATCTATGACTTCTTCCATTTATCACCATTGTTCTGTCATAGTGTGATGACCCCTAGATAAGAAGATTTTTGTGTGGGTTTTATTACTGAGAAACTTTGTGGAGTGCTTTGCCTGAATATGAATATTTTGTTAGTGTAGTTTCCAAATCACGATCTTACCGTTGAGGCAGCTTGGCCTGGACTGTTCGTTGATCAGCTTGGGAATTATTGGGATGTACCATTTGCTCTTGCCTTTGATCTTGCATCAATTGCTGCTGAGTCCGGCTTAAGCTATCATCTGTTAGTCAACAACAACACAGGTTTACCTAAACAGTGCCATGGCCAACCGCTTACCAAAGAAGTGCCCCCTTCTTTACTTCAGGGGTTTTGTGCCAAAACTGCAGTTTCCATGAAAAAAAGTATTGATCTCTGGAGAAGTGAAGCATCTCTGTTGAAAATGGTGCAACCTTACAACATACTCATGTCCAGTCCACACATTTCTGCCTCAGGCATACTTGGTGAGACTGTTTTGCCTTTCTGAATGTCGAAGAATATAATATAATATAACTAGGGCGGAGTTTTTGGTTTGGGTTGATTTGATTTGAAATGTCCTGGGTAAATGATCACTGAATTAAAGCTCAATATGGTTTGCTTTTAATTGGTTCTGTTTGGGTTTGGGTTTCTTTGGGTTTTTTTGGGCTCTACTGTGTTTTTATTTGGTTTGGTTTTAATCTGTTTAAAATTAGTTTGGATTAATACGTTTTGAGAAAACTTGCTAGTTTTTGAAAAAAAATCTCAAGGAAGATGTTTCTCGTGGAAATTTATTTCCATATAATAAAACAAACAGAAGTCCTTTTCCACAAAAGTCTAAAAAATCAAGAAGAAATATCCCTTAAAATTTCAGAAAACGATTTTTTTTGTTCGAAACAAAATATTTTTATGTAGGATCCCTAAAACTGAATTACCTAGGGTACTGTTTTAGATTAGCTTAGTTCAGTTTTGTTTGGTTATGTTCTGTGAAACCTAATTGAAATGTCACTCCTATGAATAACTCTTGAAGTGTACTTCACAGTGATGCTTCCAAAATTAAGAATGATAAATAAATTTATCAACAAAAGGCATTTTCTAAGTAAATAGATTTGTCAGCCCTGTCAAGGTGTCATGTTGTCAGTTCTCACAAAATGGTATACTTTATTGACATACTTGAGCTTCATTTAGTAATTATTTAAACGTATTGACATAAGTTTGATTGTTCTTGTTTTCCCCTCTGTATCATTATAGGTGTAGTTTTATCTGCATACCAAGGAGAGAATTCAGCTAGTTCAAAAAGTGAAGATGAGTCACTGCCTTTCAGAAAATTTTCACTTCGAACCCAAGGAGAAAATTCTGCTCTTTCAGCAGACTTATTTGCATCTTTTTCTTTATCAGCGCAACATGGAAATTTCCAAAGGCTCTTTCTGGATCTAAGTAAATTTGATGCACGCTTTGATATACCATCTGGGTCGAAATTCATTTCGGGTTTAACTTCTGTGGCACATCACCTTTACAAGTCTCAAGTCCCAAGTACGGAAGCAATTCCGGCAATTTGTCCGAATGCCATGGTTTCGTTTCAACAACAGGTTCTCTGGTTTCCAACTTTGTTGATGCTCATTTGTCCTATTTATGTCTAACATATAAAAAGACTTCGGAATCAAAATACATAAAAATTAAAATAAATAATCACATTTCATTTTCCATTGCAGTTTCCAAGGTAAAATGATGAAACATAAGAGAATAAGTTCTTTTAGGCTATGTTTGGGTCATGGAAAAATGCTAGGGGAAGGGAGGAAGTAGTAAGATTTTTTTTTGTTCCGTATCTTGGACATTGTAAGGGAGAACGAAATGTGATTAATTATTTTGAAACATTTTTCATTTATTTAGATTTCTTAGTCTCTATATAATTCAAATAAATAAACACAATGCTTTGAAGTTTGAACACATATGGAACGTAAATATGTTTAGCTTGAGTCTGTCTATCTTTTATTTCTCCCAAAAATTTCTTCCTATGTTATTTCCTTAGTACTTCGTATTATCTGAGTTCCAAGAAATCCTTAGTGTTGAGCTAAAATGTTAGAACATGTGAAATGTCTTAATATTAAGTTACTGAAGATTTACTTCCTGGCATAGTCTTTCTTAATAGTTGGGTATTTTTTAACACAAATCTTTAACATTTTGTCATTGATAGCCTAATAGTGAGTCGTTACTTCTATTTTGCATGATGTGCAGATTGCAGGGCCCTTCAGCTTAAGGGTTGACTCGGAAATAGCCATTGATGTGAAGGACTTTCGTCCCAGAGTAAAGAATCCTGTATTTGCACTTGAATATGCACTTAAAGTTCTTGGGTCTGCTAAGGCTGTTGCATGGTATTCACCAAATCAAGAAGAGCTTATGTTAGAACTGCGCTTTTTTGACAGTTAAAAAGGCAACAGTGGAATATCAATATAGCTCGCCTAGTTTGTTCATTTCAGCACTCCCGTCTGCATATTATTTTTATGGATTCCTTTTTTAATTATGATTTTCACAACAATGTCATTGTATTTGTATCTGTATATTCTTTTAATGCATAAAATTTATAGATTTCAGAGTCACAGATGCTTTAGTTGAACTGATGAGTTTCACTTGAACACAACTGCTCTAATACTAGTTACATCTAGGGGTGGACCCGGCCTGGTTCTAGTCCCGGTCAATGCTATGGAAGGCCCGGGTTCTAACCTGGTTAAATCCGGGTCTGGGCCGGTTTCGGGTACCAGATTATCCTGGTACGGACCCAGTCTGATTATATTTTATTTTTCGTTTTCAAGGCAAAAAAAATGGTCGGGCCAGGACTGGAACCATGCCTGGAACCACCCAGTCCGATCCCCAAAATTCAGACCCGCTGGTTATCCGGTTGGGTACCCGGTCTTGAATTGGGATTGGAAAAATGGACCCAGTCCGGTCCCAAACAATGCCGGACCTCCGGTCCCAAACCATCATGTTGACGTGAAATTTTTGGTCTAGACTTTTACAAGTTACTCAAGTTGATTAGAGTGGTAACGAATGGTATGGACCGTATGGTACGTTGGTTAGTTTTGAATATACATGTGAACGGTTGATGTGTTTTTATTGTCTCCCTTTTCTCTATTTATCATTTTAACTCCGTTTTTTTTAGGATTAAGACTTGACTGTTCTTATTGCATATAAAGATTTCCGAGTAGATATTGAATTATTAACATTTAACAGTGGGATTAAAAATACAATAATTAAATTGTATAAATTAAAAGCAATCATAACACTTTCAAAGAGAATTGAAAGGGAATATGATATTTTAGTGAGACAAAAAGTATGATTTAGTCTAAATTTTCCTTATATAGGACTATTAGATTATATAATGCTAGTCATAGCCGTGGTCTAGTTCTGGTCACTAGAAAAATTAGTTCTGGTCACTAGAAAAATTAGTGAGGAGTGGATGGGTTGGATGAAAGCGTGACAATAGAAGCTTCCTTTTCAAAAAGGAGACTGGACCAGCTGGTCTCAGTCCCAATAAATCAACTAGGATCCCCCCCCCCCTATACCCACCTCCCGGTCTCTGTTTTGGACCGGAAAAAAGGCCCGCCATGGGATAGGGCCTTTATCCACCCGTATGTAAGGCAATAGCCCGCAAGTCCATCACTGGAACTTGGGTACATGATAATCCAATTGGATAAAATCCTGTTCGAATGAGTGCAAGCTACTCAATTATCTCTAATATTATGAATAAAGAAAATCCAAAATTTTCAAATAAAGAACTTAAGCTTTAAAAGAGAATCCAAAAGTTTAGACTAATTATCGGTGTCAACGACCAGTTCGACCCCTATCCACTACCCACAAGGATCAATGTACGCATTAACCCCAGAAGGATCAATGTCAACTTTCAAAGCATACATCATTCACATAAAGAACTGAGTGAATGAACCTCATACTTGAGGGGCACGTCAGCACCAGCCAGCCCTATGAGCATGGAAGCTTGCATGTTTTTATGCTATGATGCATACCAAAACTGGTAACCGGGCTACCCAGAGGAAGATGTAGATGTTCTTCTTTATACTTGATAGCTCGAAGACACAGACCATGTGGTGGAAGTGACAATGCATACTTTGCAAGTTGCTTTCTATCGCAAGTTTCCAAAATCTTGGGAACAATATCAGGTGGAACTGCTTCCCTTCCAACTTGAAGCAACAAACCCACCTGCCAAATCAAAGTACCTTAATGCATGAGGTACCCAAAAATGACCAGGAACTCGTTTGATAATACTTAAAAGGACCGAAATTATGGGTGACATTGTTACAGAGAATAGATAAAAGTATCAAAAAGCCAAAAAATATCCATTTCAGCCAAAAAGTCATGAACTATTTTTTTTCATTGCCAACCGATTCAACCAGCAGAGTTACAATAGCATAGTGTTTCACAAAAAACTTGATAAGCCAAAACTAAAGCATACCAAATGGGCTCAACACTTCATTGCCAAAATCATGAAACAAAGTGAAGCATCAGTGACTCTTATCATGCCAAACTAAGGAGTGGATGAATGATGTACCATGTTTCTAACTTGTCTGTAAAGAAAACCGGATCCTTCAACTCTAAGCTGCAATATAGGTCCCTGCATGGCAGCATCACTTTATATGATGAGTCGATCAACCCTCTTAAAGGACTGTTTGTGGTCCACTAAATCATACACACACACACCGACACATTTCTGTAAGAGAGAGAGCCTGCAAGGGAAGGTAGGTGTGAACCCAGTCCAGTTTGGGGTCATGGAAAGGGTGGAACCGTGAACAGGTATACCCAATGCGGTTCCCGTCACTTTACCTTGACGATTCCAATCTAGTTATTGGGCCGGTTCCTTAGCCTTTTTTGGGATAGGTCCGGGAAAATACCATCCATATAAACTTAAATAATTGTAAGCAAAAAAGGGTATTTGCTGACTTTGGGGTGGGCCCGATCTACCCTCTACCTACACCCCTGGATGTATGTGAGAGAGAGTCCATCCCTGGGCGCTACCCTTACGGATAGAATATACAAACCCATCTAATACCATGAAACCTTCCTACAATTTTCTAACAAACAAATGAGATTTAAACATATACCATTTCAATTACATCAAAGTGGAGGATGTTCTTCACCCGATCTCTCACTCGGTCATCCCGAGATGCATTGGCAAAAGCTGAGAAGTCGTGCTTCCCTATGAAATACTTTGCAGCATCTCTCATGGCATTAACATTAAGTTTATACTCACTGTGGTAAGCATATAGCCTCTGAAAGGGGTCCAAAATGGTGTCATTGTAAATCTTGTACTCGTAAGTTTTGCAAATAGCAGAAAAACGAGCATGGAATTCATGAGCAGCCGCACTGATTTCTTTGACTCTAATATCAGAAGGAAGAAGAGCATTTATTGATCTGTGGATACCATCCAGTGTGTCAAAGTTGAAAGGTGTAATAAAGTGTGCCACCTGAAACCAAACATCATTTTCTCTACATATTTAAAAGTGCAATGTCTTTTTTAACTGCGATTCCATATATCGATTCATGTTAGATGACCCCAAACTCTTTTGGGACTAAGGCTTGGATGTTGTTGTATTTAGAATCACACTGAGCCCGTATGGTAAAGTCTAAGTCTCCTATGGCTGAAAGTGGTTGAATTTGCTAAATGTTGCTAAATTTGCTAAATTATCTAAAATATTTATTTATTTGCTAAGTTTATAATAGAAATGAGTATCTAAAAGTGAAGGTTGAATGGTCATTTTCACTAATTTCAGCCAAAAAAGTAAATCACAAGCTACTTTTTTCCATTATCAACAGATTTAGCCATCGAACTGATCTGGGGGATATGCCAAAAAATGCTTACCAAACAGGCACTCTAAACTCATGTGAGTTTAAGCCGATGGAAATGAAAGCAAACCTGACCCCAGGCATGAACTCCTGCATCTGTTCGGCCTGCACCTACCAAGTGAAGATCTTTGTGCTCCAGTTTTGTAATTCGAGTTAAAGGCCGTTCTAATATGCTCTGAACCGTTGGAATTGATGGTTGATATTGCCAACCTGTTGAGTTTTCAAGGTTCATGTCATTCCAGGGTGACAATAATAAATAAAAAATCTCATACTCCGAGTCGAAGTGTTCTCTGGTTATATGTACAGATGAGATAGCATTTGAGAATAGAATTTAGAATTGAAATCATCAAAATGAAAATTTAAGATTTAGTGAAATAATTTTGGGGTAGTGCAAGAACAAAGACCTGAAAATCGGGTTCCATCGTAGGCAATGACCAAGCGCCACTTATAAGAGTGGGGATGATTATCTCCAGAAAACAAAGTCTGCTGATTTCTCCATTAATGTCAGCATATACATCGCAGAGTAGAACGAAAACACAAATGAGCAATTAGGGAATTAAAAACGGTGGATTATTATTATACATGAACGAAATTGTTTTAAAAGCAGTTCAATGAAATGAATACCGTGGATGTCGGGAATGAAGGAGAAGAATAAGCTTCAGCAAGATGAGGAAGTGAAGCGAGTGTGACAGCTGCAGAGATACTCATGCGTCGTAAATTATCAGCCCTTTTGTCGCTATGCCGGTCGGGTGCTCCTTCCCTCCGGGCGTTTCTTCTCAGCTTACCGGTAATCTTTTCTTATCCAAGAAGGCAAGAACGTTTTGTTGGTCAGAACAAGTGTATTAAGTGTAGACGGGTCTAGAGGCCGTTTGGGCAATTTTTGGTCAATTATTCGTGTTATAGGTGTTTATTGGTCAATTTTTTCATCAAACACTATAATAAGCCAAAAAAGTAATGTTGGAGTTACTTTTCTGACTGTATTGGCCAAAGTTAAAGTAGATGATCATTTTAGCTATTTTTACATATAATTTTTTGGGAAAAGTACGAAAAAAGTACTTGTGGTTGAGCTCATTATCAGATAGGGTCATGTGTTTCATTTTATCAAAGTGGTTCATGTGTTTGAATTCCGTTATCACAAGAGGGTCACGCTGTTAAAAACGTTTGAAAAAAACCTTCAAAAATAACTTCGATTTTCAAAAGTGCCCGAAAAAACAAAAGAAAAATACTGGAAGGTGCGCCTCAATAAGACGACCACTAGGGCATCTTTCTTTTTTATTTTCAGCCACCCTTGTCACCGAAAAGTCCATCAAAAAAGTGATATTAGAGAAATCATTTTTAAAAAATAATTCAAACAGATCTGAAAAATCCAAAGGCAAAGGTGGTTTGGAGGTCATCTTGACGAGCCGCACCTTTCGGTATTTTTCTTTTCATTTTTAGGACACTTTTGAAAATCGGAGTTAATTTTAACGGTCTTTTTCAGACGTTTTTAACGGCGTGACCCTCTTGTGATAGCGGAATTCAAACACATGAACTACTTTGATAAAGAATGAAACACATGACCCTATCTGAAAATGGACCCAACCACAAGTACATTTTCCGTACTTTTCCCTAATTTTTTCTTTATTTTATTAATAAAATATACTTTAAACGTATTTTACATATAACTTTTTTCTTTTTATTTTTTATTTTTTTCTTAAATCAGCAGAATCAGCCAATGCAGCCACTTCAGCCAGAACTTCATAAATTTCAGCAGAATCAACTAAATCAGCCGATTTTTGTGCTACCAAACGGGCTCCTAGTCTCATCATAACTGGTCTCAGTCGGTAAATGTTTGATCTCTGTTTATTTTATAACTACGGAAGTTTGGTTTAAGTCTGATGTAAGACTGACAGATCTTCCAGCTCAGGTCTCTAGCCACACGAACTCGGAGGTTCTGTAAACTCACAACCACCACATAGGGACCTACCGGACCGGGAACCACCACAAAAAAGGACCAGAACCCAGACCCAAACCCAGCTACCCTCTCAAACCTCACCCTAGAACTCTCAGAGCACTCACACACACGAAGAAGATGAAGAGAGAAGTCAGACCCCATCTCTCTAAAAGGAATACTCTAGAACTAGGGTTACAGATGCGGCTCACTCTCCCCGGCAGAGAGACAGGTCAAGGATTAAATAGGCGGGTCAGGGAAAGCCCAACACGGTAAGTAGGTCACGGAGAGTAAAGGGGCCGAACACAAAGGAATAGGTCAAACAAGGAAGCAATTGGGGCTGGATGGTAACAATTGATATAGGCCTAAGTCCTGAGTATATTGGAGAAGAAGGTTAAGACCCATAGGGCCAATACCTCTCACATTCTCCACCTCATTGGTCCTATGTGGTGTAGAGAAAAAATGTGGCATGGAAAAGACTCATCATCGCTGATTGCCCAAGACATCCAAGGATATCTTAGGCCAACAATTGGAGGTATCCAAAAAACGCTCCCCGGGTCACACAGGACCCAGAAACACAAATTGAAAAGTGTGATGCACACTTTCCTGATCCAGAAGGATCAAAGGGACAAACTGGATGCCCAGAGAACACCATGTTCTCAGAGCAAAGTCCAGGAGTGCAAACAACACTCCATGGACCAAATTACCTGCAAAAACAAACAATATCTAACCACAGTCCAGATTTAATGTTCATTTACAAGAAAGTAACTTCTCAACAGAGAGACACTTTGTCCCCATATCAGCAGAGTTGAATTTTGATGGGATCTTCTCCTGCATGATATCACCTGCCTCCACAATTTCTCGAATGAAATGGAACCTGACATCAATGTTCTTGGTCCTGTCATGAAACACAGGGTTCTTGCAAAGCTGTATGGCAGACTGATTGTCTGAGAAAACTGTAATTCTCTGTTTAAAAAAACTTAAATAAGTGACAAGCCTTTTAAGCCAAATAGCTTCTTTAAAGGCTCCAGTGGCAGCAACATACTCAGACTCAATAGTGGACAAGGCAACAATGGATTGCAACTGGGACTTCCAACTAATACAGGATCCACACAAAGTAAACACATAAGAAGTGGTAGACTTCCTATTATCCCTATCATTGGCATAGTTAGAATCCACATATCCACGTAACACAGTATCATCAGAACACTTAGCAAAAAACAAACCATGATTCACAGTTGATTTAAGGTATCTCAAAAGCCATTTCATAACATTCCAGTGAGGCATACTAGGATTTGACATATAACGACTCAAGCAACTAACAACATAAGCAATGTTAGGCCTAGTACTGGCCATAAGATACATAACATATCCTATATCACTGGAATAAGGAACAAATTTCATATCACTTATTTCAGAATCAGTCTTGGGAGACTGATCCTTACTTAGCAAAAAATGTGATGTTAAAGGAACATTCACAGGGGAAGCAGATTGCATGTTCAATTTACTCAAAACATTCTCTACATAAGAAACTTGGTTTAACAAAAGAGTAGACTTGCTTCTATCCCTAATGATATTGATGCCTAGGATCCTCTTAGCATCCCCTAGGTTTTTCATGGAAAAATTTTCACATAGGCACTTTTGCACATGAACAATGGAATCAAGGTTAGGACTGATAATTAACATATCATCCACATATAATATAAGCAATGATCACACGCAGACTTAACAAATTTCATAGATTTCATGCATGGATCAAACTTAATATTCCATTGTCTAGGAGATTCCTTCAGACCATATAAGGCCTTCCTTAGCAAACACACATAATCACTTTTCTTGGGATCCACAAACCCTTCAGGTTGGGTCATATAGATCTTTTTATCAAGATCACCATGCAGAAAAGCAGTGGACACCTCCATCTGTTTCATTTCCCAATTAAAGTGAGCAACTAAAGCAAACATGATCCTAACAGTAGTAAACTTAACCACAGGAGCAAAAATTTCAGCATAATCTACCCCCCTCTTTTTGAGTAAAACCTTTTGCCACTAACCTAGCCTTAAATCTCACACTCTGAGGTTCTACCTTGACCTTAAACGACCACTTGCATTCTACAACAGAACAATTGGGAGGTCTAGGGACCAAGGTTCAGATTTTGTTAATTCTAAGAGACTCCATCTCACTATTCATGGCATCAAGCCACTTCTGGGACTCCTTAGAAGTAAGGGCTTCCTTATAGGTTTTGGGCTCATTTAACTCAAGGGTCTCAAACACAGAGTAAGCAAATAGGGAGGTATCATGCACATGAAAAGCATAATCACACATAGAATGAGACACCTTTTTATCAGTCCTTTTACTCCTATCTCTAACAAGTTGATAGTTATGCAAATCAGGTATATCATGCTCCATATAATCATGTTGTTCAGTATTATCATGTAAATCAGAATCATGAGAAGACTCCATCCCACTAGAAGGGGTGGTACCATGCAGGTTAGCATCAGAATCATTAACATTGTCAAACAATGGAATGGTAGCAGCAGGAGTAGACTCCACCTCAGACTGAACACTCTCAGAACTTAGTTTTGTGGTAGGACTAGACAGACAGGAAAATTCAGACTCATTGAAAATTACATCCCTACTGATCACTACCTTAAAACCCACCTGGTTTCTATCCCACAGCCTATAACCTTTTACCCCCTCAGGATACCCAAGAAAGACACACTTCTTAGACCTAGGATCTAGCTTATCCAGCTTCTGATGAACATAGGAAGCACAACCAAACATCCTAAGGTTGGACAAGTCTAGGGGCTTTCCAGAGTAAACTGACTTAGGGCACTTTCCTCCTAGAGGAACAGAAGGGGGCCTATTTACCAAATAGGCAGCAGTGTTAACTGCTTCACCCCAGAATTGCTTAGACAGACCAGAGGTGGCAAAGAGACTTCTTACTTTATTAAGCAAGGTTCTATTCATACGCTCAGTTACACCATTCTGCTGGGGAGTATAGGGCACAGTTTTGTGCCTTTTTATTCCTCAGTCAACACACAGTTGATTCATCTCCTTGTTACAGAACTCTAGGCCATTATCAGTTCTAAGGGCTTTAACCTTAAGATGAGACTGGATTTCAACTAGGGTTTTCCACTCCCTAAACTTCTCAACAACATCGGACTTATTCTGTAAGAGACAAACCCAAACTTTCCTAGAGAAATCATCTATAATGGACATGAAATATCTCTTACCACCATGGGTAGAGATACTGGCAGGACCCCAGACATCAGCATGAACATACTCTAAGGCAGAGGTACACTTAGACATGTTTGGATAGGAGGAACTAGGGAAACTGACCCTATGCTACTTACCAAGCACACATGCTTCACAGAAAGGCACAGAAGACACACAATCTTTACCAAAGCAACCAGATTTTTGCATGATTTCTAGACCCTTATTACTCATGTGACCTAGCCTATTGTGCCACAACACAGAGCTATCAAGACAAACATCATTAGCAGAATCAAAGAATGGAACAACATGGCACACATACAGATTATTCACCTTCAAAGCTTTGAACATAACCAAGGAATTTTTCAAAACCTTCATGTAACCATTACCCCATTTTCCATTTAACCCACTATTCTAAAAAGCAGCAACTGAAAACAGATTATGACACAGATTTGGAACATGCCTCACATTTTTCACAGTGTACACAGTCCCATTATCAAACTTCAAACATATGCTCCTAACCCCATGCACTTTGCATTTCTTACTATCAGCTAGAGACACATAGCCATCATCGCAAAGATCATAGGAAGAAAATAAGGATTTAAAAGGAGTCATATGATAAGTGCAACCAGAGTCAATAAGCCATTCATTTTCAGTTAAGCCACTTAGCACAAAGTTTGCAAAGTCATACACCATAAACAC